AGAAAAACCGGTGTAAATAAGACACTATAGGACGAGAATACTGCCATAATACTACTCATCGTTGCTCGCCGGAAACGGCCTTAAACGGCGTCGTTTACGTTCCGGGGAAAAACGGCCCTCAATCCGAGCTGACGGAAAGCGGTCAAAAAACGGTGAAAAACGGCGATCGTTTTTCATCGTTTAGGGCATTAATTACGTCGTTTTTTCACCGTTTTAGGCCTTTTAAGACGTCGTTTCAGACGACCTGAATGATGGACCTGGGTATATCTCGCTACGTGACAGAATCAAAGTCAAGACAACATTCTGTACAATAGAAAGAAATATATTTTACCGTTACAAATTGAAATGCGCAAAAACATTGAATTATTCGAAAGACGTCGTTTTTCTTGAATAAAGGTTTTCAGAAAAACCTCTGTAAAACCCTTAAAATCCATCGTAAACAAAATAAACTATAGTGTATTCGATAGCGAACGTGATGCTCTATTACATGCACTATTTAAAAAAAACTCGATAAATTTGACAAAAATCAACTTTTTTTGGATGGGGGCTGGGCCTTAAAAAAATCTTATCGGGCAAAAATCCAAGTTACATTATTTCTTAAATATAATGAGAAATAGAGCCAAAATTCTGACTTTCGTAAGCTTATTTTTAAATCGCTTTTTTTTTAAATAGAAAACACATATTCTCTAACGTAACTTGACGAGCTCTATCCGACAATCAAGAAGAAAGAAGAAAATGCTCTGCTAAAAAATTGGATTGTGGACATCGTACATAGAGTGTAAATACCTTAAAACTTGAATATCTCGGTCTGTGCACGCTAACATTAGTCAATATTTTAAATTTGTTAGTTTGACAGTGAGACCTTTCTTTTGACCCAAATATATCTAGTGTTTTTTAATTTACAATACAAACACCTTCATTGTTAGTAGTCGCCCCCTTCCCTGAATCTTGGTGACTTTGAAATACTCCAGATTAGGCTTCATTGCCATAGTGAAGTGATTAAATTGTAAAACAAAATTTTTCAATCTTGACTTATTAGTAGCAAGGTAGTGTAACTATCATCAATCTAATATTATCCAAATTCTACTAATCGACAGTTTAATAGAATAAAAATTTATTGTATCAATTCTTTTTTTTTACAAACAGAAAAACATTCATCAAATCAAAAAAAAAACACCGAAATAAAAATAGCATTAAAAGGAAAAAACACGAAGTGAAAATGTCTTAAGGATTATTTTGAATACTGATAAAAATAAAACAAAAACAACATCTATTCATTGAGAATTACTAGGTAAATAATAATATAATTGAAACTTATCCGTATTCTTTTCAAGACCATCAATTATATGAGATAAGTAACCAGAAACATTTTCAGTTTTATGTAATTGTTTAGCTTTTCGTAAAAATTCATGTTCTAATAATTGTTTATATTTTGGTCGTTGTTTTTCATCTTTATTTAGACTAGAAAAAATTCTCAAATTAAAATAAATCAAATAATTAAATATTATTTTTACCATGTATTTACAAAATTTTTACAATTATCAGAAAGACGATCGATTTTAAGTTCTAATGAAGGTCCTTCAATAATTTGTTCTAATTGATCAAATACCGATGTCCATTCTCGAAATGGAAAATATCCTGTAGATATTTCATACTGAAAAAAATAAATGTATAGATTGATGTAACTGGTTTTTTTTTCTTGCATTTATATTATTTACAAGTGTTATTCCAAGTGACCAAACATCCGATCGAACATCATAACCATCAAGTGTTGCTCTTGTTGGATCAATACGTTCAGGCTTTAAAAAAAATCGAAAATTATCAGAAAATATTTACGATTATTTTTTCCTACTGGTAAATATGGACGACAACCAGCATCACGTGTTTTAGCAATAGAATCAATTAATTGACCACTTATACCAAAATCACAAAGTTTAAGTGTTGTTCTTGAAACTAAAATATTCGATGGTTTGACATCTCGATGTATAATTTTCCAACGAGATTTTATATAATCAAGTGCTTGTAATGTCTAACAAATGATTCATATTAAAATAAAACCTATTAGTACCATCCTTGCAGAATTAAGATATGAAAAATGGTATAGCTGCTCTTGAAAATCATACGGAGATTATTTTATTGTCTATTATGAGACACATTTCTTCATTTTCCTTCTCCCTAGTCCTTCACAGATACAATAGGTCATATATCAGAACGAGACGTTCTTGATACACAGCCTGTGATCAAATACCAACAATGTTTGTCACGATCTGTAGAGAGTAGAACTTGTCGATCAAGCTTTTTTGAAACCGGTCGAACCGTACTTTGATACTCTCAATGAAATTTTCTGATCGGAATTGGATAGTCGCCTCGAAGATACGAGATACTTTTTTGCCGATTTTTTGTATTCGATGACAAGTGCGCCCTACACATGTCTCAGATAACTAGAGCTCTTCAGGTTGAAAAATTTTAGATCCGGGCCGGATGGGCTTTAGTGAAAGGTGAGACCCAAATTTGTAACCCTATACTTCAACACTCCTTTTGCATCGTTTTTCACAGAATATTATTAAAAAAAAAGAAAAATAGAACCTTACAGCAAATGTTATATATGCAAGAATACTTTCTGGTATAAATTGATCAAGTTTATGATAAACAAATTTATAAAAATAATCAAGTGATGTATTCATTAGTTCCATACATATCCAACAATCTCCCTAAATGAATAAAAAACAACAACATATATGTCAAGTAAAAAAGAAATTTAATTAAAATAATAACTTCTTTAAAAAGAGCACCATAAAATTGTACAATATGTGGACAAGTATTATCACGCATTACAATATCGAATTCTTTGATCATTTGTTTTTGACACCGTTCATCAACAGTCGAATGAATACGCTGAATAAAATTGAAAACAAATATTAAGATGAATATTATTAACTACTTTGACAGCCATCATTGTTCCACTTTTTTCATGTATCATTTTACACACAATACCAAAATTTCCTTCTCCAATTACACCACACTCGATCAAATCATTCGATGTAAATTTATATGACTAATTAAGAAACATCTTACAATAATTCAATAAATTTAACAAATCCAGAACAAACTTTTGTATCTGATAAACGAAGTTCGCCAGTGCTAAGATCACGATGATTGAATGGTGATGAATTTGGACGGCTACAATCGGATAGATAAGAGATTTTAGTTCATATATTTTTGTTCGCTAAAGAAGAATTTTGGTTTAGTTAGAAAAAAGGATGCGAACAACGAATTGTTTGAATATATTAGATCCAGATATGAGTGGGACTGGTTGTTTTGCTACTGATTTAAACAAAAAAGAATTTAGTCTTACGAAAAGTTTCTTTAAATGATTAATAGCCTTCTAGATAAGTCCTGTCTGATTTAGTAAGTCCTATTGAGATTAGACAATACCAAAACGAATTCGTATCAATGAGTTATTCTTCTTGAATTAGAACTGTTTTAGTGGAATTTTTCAACAAAATACAACGATCATCTTTAAAGTCGACTGTCGATTTTAAATTTTATAACATAACGCTCTCAATGAAACTAGTTCATTGTGATAGTATCTGATTTCTCTAGTTTCTCCTATCGTCAGATACCAATATTTAAAATTGTATTATACAAAAAAGTAAAGTTTGTTGTCATTACATAATCTAACATTCTCATAATGAACTAACAAGTCAATTTCAACGATGTTTGTTGCAAAACTCATTAAAACAGCTATACTTCAAGAAAAGAGACCTATATTCATGAATTTTTTAAAAACTTTCCCATGTCTCAATAGGGTTTACCTGACTCAGTAAGACTTATCTTCAAAGTGATTGATTATTTGGGAAGGTTTCCTTGTTAGTTCCATCAGTATTTAGTGCGGTAATATTGAAAGATAAATCTTATGAACTCTTTAAAAACTAATGAGAATCTTTATGAACTATACTCAAAATTCTTTTTTTCAAATAGCATATTATCAAAATGAGAAATGACTGATTTATTCTACACTTCCTAGATACTTTATCTTATTGATAAACTTAGTTTCTCTATTGAACAGTGTCATTAAGATGACGATTCAGAAACAAAAATTATAAAATCAATCAATTATGTGTAAGTTAATCATGTTTACTAGCTGAGTTTTATTTGTAAAATTTCGTTTCTGTTGAAAACATTTGCTTATATATTATTTTAATAACTTTTTCAAAAAAACAAGATCATACATCACAGAATTAATATCTTCATTATTGGAATTTGGTTTGTTTTTACTAGTTATTGAATCTGTTTCAAATTGAAATGGTTTACGTATTGGTTTACTCACTAAAACAAAATAAACAATTGAAATTGTTTTTTTTTTTTGAGTTATAAAATATTACTTGTCTCTTAATATTTCAATGATTGAATGCCAAAAAAGTACAAGTCAGTCTGCATCTGAAAAAAGAAAAAATATGATTCATCATCGAGGATAAATGCCATATGTTGCTATGTCAGAAAGAAGTAAATAAATAAATGTAAGAGAACAATTGGTTGGTCTTTTAAAAAATATGATAATTTTTGTTTTTATTTATATGATTCATCATCAACGCTTTTTTAATAATTTCTGTTTCTATGACACACATATAAATATTTTTTTATTTAAATTTTAATCATTAAATTCATTGGAAAATAACAAATAGAATACTGAAGAAAAATAAACATGCACCATGGATCAAGTATTTTAGGTTTTTTAACATTTTTTTAATAAAATACACGCCATAAACTTATAGCACTTTGTTTTTCGTTAAATGATGTTGTCCATCAATTAAACCATAATGATATTCGAAGATCAAATAATTGATTATTATGATTTCCAAGAGTTTTTAAACCAAGTTTTTTTGTTAATGAATACATTTGTTTTGCTTGACATAGACAACAAAATAGGAGAATTTCATATGAATCTTGTTCAATGAAAAGATCATTAACAAAAAACGAAGAATACCATTCACAGATATTCAATGATTATTATCTGAATAATGTTTAAATAATTGTTCATAACAATCAATTGATGTCGATAATTGTTTTGTATTGGACGACACTATTAAAGTTATTTTAGCAAGAAGTTCAGGAATTTTATGTAATGGTAAATCATGACGAGGTTCTAATGTCGATATGAATTATGAGAATTGAGAATTTGATGTTGTTCATCATCTTGTTTAACCTTTTTTCTTTATATGCTTTATTAAAACTAATGAACGAATATTTTGCTTATGTGACATAAATCTTTTATTTCCCTAAGCAATTTTTCAGGAAACTGATCTGTAAACATTATGATCAAAAACACAAATGAAATTTTCGAATAAATCATAATCTAACATCAATAATGATTTAATAATTATTGTTTATTGATATATCATATTGAAATCATATAACTCTAAAACTAAAAGATTTTAATCGATGAAAATTTAAACATTCATTTGTTGACCTATTTCATCTATCCATGATGATGATGATGACGCATCACCATTGCTTTCTTTTTACTGGACAATATTCGATCAATAATATTTATCATACAACCATTAGAATAATATCCAATCCTCTCAATTCTTCAACTTGATTATATCATTGCTTATTTTATAAACCAGTTATATTTTCAAAATAGTTTATATAAAACATAACAACTGAGCTTCGGAAGATCCATTTTAGCTTTTGTTTTTTTTTTGCTTAACTAAAAACTATCTGTTTCTTTTTTAGTATTAGCTAAATTAATTATCTAGCAAAAACAAAAAGAAAATGTATTCTCGTTTCGTATTTCGATCAATTCAAGGTTCAACACCATCGTTGATTTTCAATCGTTTTCTTTCATTAACTCAAGTACAATTATCAGCAGCAACAAAATTAAAAGAAATACCATCAGCTGCAACAAAATCTGAAAAGTCTACTGCTAACACGGAAAAACCTGCTGATAACAAGGAAAAACCTGCTGCTAATATGGAAAAACTATCGACTCCACCACCAATGAAAACAAGTAATGTATCATCAGAAGATAAAAAACCAATTCCACCACCAACATCAAGTATAAATGATCCCAATAAAACTTATTCGGAAAAAATTCATCGACTTGTTGATGAAATAAGTAAATTATCATTAGTTGATGTTATGGATTTAAATGAATTATTAAAAGTAATATTTTGCAAAAAATAGAAAATTTAATCTATGATTTGTTTGTTTTTTCTTTGGTTTAGAAAACACTTAAGATTCAAGATGTACCAATCATGGCATCCGGCGGAGTTAGTAGTGCACCACCACCAACTGCAGCCGTACGTAAAATAAATTCTATTGTTTGATTGATTTTTTTGTTGTTGTTGTTTATGTTATAGAAAAAAGAAGAAGACGAAGAAGAAGCTGCTCGACCAACAGCACAATCGGTATTTAAAATACGTTTAATTAAATTCGATGAAACGAAGAAAGTCCCGGTTATTAAACAAGTCAAAGATGTTGTTGAGAATATTAATCTTGTTCAAGTAAATATCTATGAAATTTTTTTGTTGTTCGTTGAATTTTCTAAAATATTTTTTGTATTTATATTTTAGGCTAAAAAATTAGTTGAATCAATTCCTCAAGTTCTTCGAGATAATTTAAGCAAAGCTGATGCTGAAACAATGAAAGCTAAAATTGAAGCTGCTGGTGGTGTGTGTGTTGTTGAATGAGACAGAAATTTTTATATCTCTCATTCTAGGCTAGTTTATTTCATTGTTCCTTTGTTAACTTTTGTTTTTTTGTAAAAAAAAGAGAAGAACAAAGAGGAAAAATTCATTTACTTCTTTTTTATTTCGTTTTTGTTGATATTCTACTAACAAGAAGAGAAATGATATTCGTATAGAGTTTTGTGATTAACAAAAAAAATTTTCCTACTCGTTTTAGATTGAACAAGTTACGGTTTTGGATAGGGATGTAACAATGACGCACATCATACTATTGTTGGCACCGGTCTACCGTATCTTTGGTGCTCTGTAAAAAAAAAATGGTTGAGAATAATAAACTCTCATTATCCATTTATTATCATTAGATAAACCTTTTGTAGGTTTATGAACATAGAGAACAGTACAAGGATGTATGAATTTACAATGGGTCACAAATCCTTGGCCAGGTTTATGAAAGAGTACATTATGTTCATAAACCTCAAAAGGATTTATTATTCTCCACTATTTTTTTTTTTGCAGAGTAGTACCGATCTTACGTACAGCTTTGCACTGGTTTAAGTATGTATAGACTCATGATGCACGAATGATAAAACTATGGTGGTCTTGGATTGATTTCGTCTTTTCCGGTTGGGAAGGCCATTTCAAGAGAATAGCTGAATTTGTTTTGTTTTCTAAAATTTAACTATTTGTTTTTAAATAAACCTTCCGAGACTGAAAAAGTCGAAATGAATTTAAGATAATTGTAGTTCAGAGCTATTGCAAGCATTGCGATAATTTTCTAATATTGAAATTTTTTTCAGAAAGAGCTTAGAAAACTAATGGTTAAATTTTGAGAAACTTTACATTAATTCTTATCGAAAAAAGCAGGGGCATAAATAATGAGAAGTGTTATGCTCCACGTGTTTTTGAAAAATATCCATGCAGTACCCCTCCCTGCCTCCAGTGCTGAGTTCTGTCTCTGCAAAAAATTCAACATCGCAATATTTTTTTTTTTGTTCTTTTCATTCTTTGCCTTATTTACAACTTTAGACATAGTTCTAAAATAATCTCTATTTTAGATTGAAATAAATTTGTCTATTTTTCAAACGTTGGCAAATGGCTCTCACTAAACGTCTTCCACTTGCCACGTGTAAGTTCAATTCTTTTTTTTTTTGTTCTTTCTAAATATGAATTAATTTTAATTCTTATTTTAGTTCTTCAATTAAGTAGTCGACATTTAGCTACTCAAACAACACCAACACCTCCACCAGCCAATCCACCTAAAGCTCAAGCACCAGCACCAGCACCTCCAGCTCCACCCCAAAAAGTGTCTTGAAAATATGAAGAAAATTCAAAAAGCAAAACTAATTTTCTCTTTCTATTGATTTAGACGAAATTCGGTCCATTAAAAGATGAAGATCGTATATTTACTAATCTCTATGGTCGACATGATTGGCATTTAAAAGGAGCTCAGGCTCGAGTATGTTTTTTTTTATTATTTTGATTAAAATTATTTGTAAATACAAATACAAAATAGGGTGATTGGTATAAAACGAAAGAAATTGTTTTAAAAGGTTCACCTTGGATTATTGATGAAATAAAAAAGAGTGGATTACGTGGTCGAGGTGGTGCTGGTTTTCCATCTGGTTTAAAATGGAGTTTTATGATTAGACCTCCCGATGGACGACCAAAATATTTAGTCATCAATGCTGATGAAGGTAAACATAATGCATGTTTGACTCAAAAACCTCTTAAAAGTGTTCATTCCTATGGTTCTCTGGAGGCGAGTTATGACCGTTTAAATTGAACTTTCGCTCATAAATGGATTGAATGACTAGTAGAATATCCTGAAGATTTCAGCCAAAAGTAATGTTCCTTTGTCAAAATATTGAATTTTCAAAAAAATGCTCGTTAGTCATAAACATCAAATTTATCCTGAAAATTCAATATTTTGACAAAGGAATATTGTTTTTGACTGAAAATTTCAGAATATTCCCAGAGTCATCGGACGTATCTATGGACAAAATCTCAGATCCAAAGTCCGTTATTTAATTTTTCGATAAATATATAAAACTGGATCGAAAACTCATTAAAACGATCATAACTCAGTTCCAGAGATCCGTGAGGATGAACCCTTTTAGGAGTTCTCTAGTCTTAATGAGACTTGCTTGTAAACCCAATATGAGCTTCAACGGCGGGTATCACACTTTGGATATTTTGCTCGTCAGAGAAAAAACTTGAAATGCATGAAGTGAAAGTCAATTTCCTTTTCGTGTCATTTCGCTAACAATGATTTTTTTTACTGATGACTTCTTAGAATAAAGGCCCTGATTTTTTCAAGGTATCTAAAGTAACTTAACATATAAAAATTACCACTAGGAAAAATTCATTATCTCAAGATATACATGTTTTAATTTAGTAAACAAATGATTTAGCTTTTATGTATATATTTTTTCTTTGTTTTTAAGGTGAACCTGGAACATGTAAAGATCGAGAAATAATGCGTCATGATCCACATAAACTTATCGAAGGTTGTCTTGTTGCTGGTCATGCAATGGGTGCACGTGCTGCTTATATTTATATTCGAGGAGAATTTTATAATGAAGGTTCAAATTTGCAAACAGCTATTCATGAAGTACTTTTTTTGCAAAAACAATGGAATATTTCACTAGAATATATAAATAAAATCGATTTTTAGGCATATCAAGCTGGTTTTATTGGTAAAAATGCATGTGGAACTGGTTATGATTTTGATATATTTATGCATCGTGGTGCCGGTGCTTATATTTGCGGTGAAGAAACTGTAAGTTTTCAATTAGGAATTTGATTTAAAATAATTGTTATGATATTTTTCTTTTGTCAGGCATTAATTGAATCATTAGAAGGTAAACAAGGTAAACCACGTTTAAAACCACCATTTCCAGCTGATGTTGGTTTATTTGGTTGTCCAACAACTGTAACAAATGTTGAAACAGTTGCTGTTGCACCAGAAATATGTCGTCGTGGTGCTGATTGGTTTGCTTCATTTGGACGTGAACGAAATCGTGGAACTAAAGTTTGTTATTTTATAAAAAAGAAAAAAGAAAGATAATTTTTTTAATTTACTTTTTAATTTAGTTATTTTGTATAAGTGGACATGTGAATAATCCAGTAACAGTTGAAGAAGAAATGTCAATACCATTAAAAGAACTTATTGAAAGACATGCTGGTGGTGTACGAGGTGGTTGGGATAATTTATTAGCAATCATTCCTGGTGGATCATCGGTACCTTTATTACCAAAAAAGTAATAGATAATAATATGAACAAAAATGAAATTATTATTAAAATTATTTTAGAATATGTGATGATGTTTTAATGGATTTTGACGCACTTGTTGCTGTTCAATCAGGTTTAGGTACAGCAGCTGTTATTGTTATGGATAAATCAACAGATGTTATTAAAGCTATTGCTCGTCTTTCGGATTTCTATCAACATGAATCATGTGGACAAGTAATTAATAATGTTTTTTAAAAGGAAAAAAAAAAGAAACAAGTATTTTTACATTTATTTAGTGTACACCATGCCGTGAAGGCACTGGTTGGCTTGCTAAAATGATGAATCGATTTGGTAAAAAAATAATGGATACCCGTTGGATTTGGTGACCTATATTGAACTAGGATACCATATATATATATATAGTTTTGTAGAGCAATTTATAGGACATCGAATGATATATAAGCAATCAAGTTTAATGAAAATTTTGGTGTGCTGAAAGTCCATATACTGGGTATAATCCGTGAGGAATATATATAACTTTGTAGTTCCTAAGACATTCTAAAATAAACTTATGGAAATTTTTTTAAAAGTCAGTTCAATACAGTTATAGGTGCATTTCAATTTTCTATAATCAATAGTTTTCTTCGTTGCTTTCTTCATACTTGAAATTGGTTACGTTCTTAGACCTAGATTATTTCTTAACAGCATGATATTGCAATGTGAAACATTTTCAAAAATTATATACTGTCAAAATAAATAACATCTTTCGGAATAACAGAGACTCATTGTAATCTTGAAGCATAGTTAAAGATTTTTATGTACCAATAATCAGCATAGCATCCTTGATAAACTACTATAAAAAACTCCTTTATAAATAGAAAATCTTTTTTTTTGGTCTTCGGTTCCCTGAAGACGGATATGGGTTATGGAAAAAATATCATTTTTGAAATGAACATAAGATATTTATACATTCTCCTAGAGTTTCATGCATAAATTAAACACAGATACCCTAAATAAAAATTTCAAAAAGAAATAATAAAAATAACAAATCTCCTTCCTGCAACCATTTCTTAATATTTTCTCCCCCAAGGAACCGGAGACCAACAATATTTTTTTCATTTATAAAGGAGCTATTTATATCAGTTCATCAGAGATGCCGTGCTGATTATTGGTACATAAAAATTTTAATAAGATCGTTGAGCTTTATTAAAATATTGTCAATATACTCGACCCCTTCACATAGGAAAATAGGCTATTCCTAGGGACAATCTTTCAAGTTGATAATGAGTCCCTGTTGCATCGAAAGATGTTATTTATCTCGATAGTTTGCAATTTTTGAGAATGTTTCACGTTGGTACTCACTTGTTGCATGGCATAGAGTTAGGAAATAATCCAGACCTACAAAAAGGATCCATTTTTAAGTATGAAGAAAGCAACGATAAAAACTATTGATTATAGAAAAATGGAAAGCATCTATAACTGTATCGAATTGAGTTTAAAAACAAAACTTGCATAATTTTATCTTAAGGACCACAATGTCTATGAGTACTAAATATATATTTCTCTAGGATTCTAACAAGTGTATCGACCTTCAGCAAATCAAAATTTGAGGGAAACTTGCCTTCTTATATATCATTCGATGCACTGTAGATCGCTTTATAGAATCACATATATGGTATCCAAGTTCAAGATAGGTCACCACATCCGACGTGGTCCTATCATTTGATTTATTTATTTTTTCTTTGTTATTTAGTAACTGGCAATGCTCGTCCAGCTGAAATCGATATGATTTGGGAATTATCAAAACAGATTGAAGGACATACAATTTGTGCTTTAGGTGATGCTGCTGCATGGCCTGTTCAAGTAAACTTTCGAAATGAAGGAAAAAATTTGTTTAACTTATATTAAAATTCTATTTTTTAGGGTCTTATTCGACATTTTCGACCAGAAATGGAACGTCGTATGGCTGAATATGCTGCAAAAAATACTGATGAAAAGACAATCAGTACTAGTACTCACTGAACCTATTAAATACTCTTGCTTCTCCTATCCATTTTTTTCTATTCTTTTATTGTACAGAGTATTTCTAGATAGGACATTTCTTTTTTCCTATATACGGCTAAATAAACTCCATAAGAAATTCCAATGAAGATTTTATTTTTAAATTAAAAACGTTTTATGCTATTTGATGTTTGTGTAAGAATTTGTGGATCAACAGCAACAATAACATTAAGAACAACATTAATGATATTTATAAAAACAGATAATATAAGAGAGAAATTATTTAATGATACTAAACGATGTTGTCGCCGTTCTTTTCCTAAATCATCTGTACCTAACAGAACCAAAATACAAGCATTTATAACTTGAAGAAGTAATGATCCACAAACAAGTCCTAATCCAACCCACCACATAGTATCTTTATTTGTTTTATTACCAAGTAGAGTTTTTAATTGTACAGCATTTGTTGCAAGTAATGCAACTTCTAAATTACTAATAGCTAAAGTTTTTTTTGTTGCGTATCGATTAACTGTAGTTTTCCCATGATCTAATGTATTTGGAGGATCGGAGTTCTCTTGAAAAGACATTTTATGTCTCGACATTCTAGATAGAATAAGAAAATTCAAATTGATTAAATATTATTTTGTAACTTTAACATACATTTTGTTGATAAAAGAAGACCGTTGATAAACTCTATCGGTTTTGTTATTGTTATTGTTATTTTTCTTTGTAGACTGAATAACTTAGGTGGATAAAAAGAAAACCGAGATAAAAAATACTTGTGAAACTCAAGAATTAATAACGATAAAAAAATAAATGATAAGAGTCTTCTTGACTATTGCTGTAAAATAAGCGCATAAAACCGAAAAATGAATATATACACATAATTTTATATGTGTACGAGAGAGATTTTTACTATGAAAACTCTCGTTTAATTAATTCTAATTTTTCAAATAAAAAAAACAAAGTGACATGTCAATCATACGTTTTATTCCTTTTTTTTTCTATCGTGCTATATTTTGATTATCTATTCATGAATCACATGTTCTATTTTTTTGTTAACTTTCAAGTGTTAACAATCTAAATTGACACAATGCTTATCTTAATATCGTTGCATTGCTTTTCGTTTGTTTTTATTTATTTGAGATACAGTAAAACCTCCCATAATTGACATCTCTGTATAGTGGACATTTTTCAAAGTCTCAGCTATCACTTTTTTTTTTGCTTGAAATGAATTTCCCTATAGTAAACGCCGTCATATAGTTCTATGGCGGATACTTTCAAAAAGTTTTAGCATATTTTAACAACTGTTAATTTTCCAAGAAGAAAAATGCATAAAAAGAGAAGTAACAATGAGCAGTGACTAATTATTTATTCACTAATCCCATCTACACGTTTAGGAAACGCATCTGTTCCTTGTAAAAAAAAACTTTGCTTTTAAAAAGATCTAACCTTCTTATAATGGACACTTTTTAAAAGTCCGAAGGATATCCACTATAAGGAAGTCATATTGTAGGTGTGAGTTTGAGTGAGGATCTTTTGTGTACCCACACCAACACCCAACTATACCCGTCCTTACTGATACTCTCATTCATTCATTTTGGATGCTCTTTCAGGATACTTAAAGATTAACATGGGATGTGATGAATTGTCTTAGTGCCACTATTATGTCATTAAGTTTTTTGAGAATTGTAGCATTTCTATTAATCTATCTTTTAGATAATTATGATAAAAAGAAAATGATTGAATATATTCATCATCATTAACTTAATTGATTCGAAGAAAATTTGGAAATAAAAAAATTGTAACTTATCATTAGATATTCTTAAATGATACATTATTGTTTATAATAGACAAAAAAGAACAAGTGAACTTTAATCACATTTATCATAACGTTCTTATCTTCAAGTAGTACTGTGTGTATATGTAGCATAGGTCAATGGATGCAAAACGTATGATTACAGTGAACTAGTGTCGACGTATATCACTAAATAACTGATAGATCACTTCAATTTGCTGATAAATTCAATATAAAGAATAAAATTAAAATTCTTTCTATAAAAGTGTATGCATCAAAAAAGAAACACTGATTTTCTTTTTAGTATTCTCACCAAAGATTTAATCACTAATTATGAAGAAACTTGTTTCAATATATTAAATGCAGTATAAAGTAGAAAATAACAACTATTCAAAATGAATATGAATAAAACATCCCTAAAGCTTCCGCTCTACAAAATATTTGCTCATTCAGATCTTGCTAATCATAATTGAAATATTTATTGACGAACAAAATCAATGAGCGTTCAAATTTTTACACTTTTCTTCACTGTACAATTATATAAGACGCATAGTCTTCCTGCAATCATAATTCATCGTCGTCATTAATAATACGATAACAAGTCAGGTGCTCAAACTTGATAAGTAATATCACGAGGTGTAGGTGTGATAACAAAGAAAAGAAAAATAAAAAAAAAGGGAGAATTGTGTTTGACTCAGAATTATATTGAATACATTGTGTATTTATGTGGTTTAGAGGTGAAACATTGAGGGGCGATTGCTCCTGCCTTCCGAAATATTTTTCGATTGTTCTCATCTGAAAACGCTTAGAAATCAGCCTATAAAATCTCTAATGGACTTCGAAACACGTTTCATGATTGTCCCCTTTCCTAAAATCTTAGATCCGCCACTGGCAAACATTAATATGCATGAGTAATGTAGCACAGAGTCCACTGAGTTGTTTCCCGACTCAAACTTGGCCAGCTCTTGGCCTGAAATTTTTTGTTAACTGGATCCGGGTCCGAAAATTTTGAACCTAGCGGCCTCTAAGTAGAATCTCACGCTTATAGATAAATGCATAATAATATTTTCATACTAATACAGATAATGAAACAAAAAAATAAATGTAAATTCATTAATTATGTTTTATTGACATATTTATTGTTGAATCGTCCTAAAACAATACAAGATTTTTTGATAGTATTAATCTTTAAATCTTGCATATTCATAAGGATCTTACATGCATTATCTGTAACATTCAATATTACTATAAACTTAATAGTGATTGATTATTATTTTACAAGATTGAAAAAACATATCACATTGGAAGTAGGAAATCTCGTAGAAAAGAGCGAATTTTTAGTCGCAAGGAAAGACAAACCTCGAGATTTCATTAGATAATGATATCTCAAGGTGTTAAAGATTAATGAAATCTACTACCTGAATAGTCAATCAGGTCATTTTTCCTATTAGAATTCTGTTTTTCCGATTTTTCTCTTATCTTTCAGAATAGAATACTAGATGACACATTATTTATTTTCTTCTTTCTTAAAATCACGATAATCTTAACCTAGTTTTATGGCATTTGCATAATACTCATATTGATCAATCTTTCATATATGATTGTGAAGAATTTAATCCTACAATACATTGTTTATCAAATATTTATGGTTCATTAAATAATATGATTAATGCAATCGATTCAACATAAAATAAATTTCTAATAAATCAAGATGAAATATATCATTCTTGATAGATATTAATATCTTATGTTCTCGACTATGATCGAATTACGATACAGTTGCTAAAAAAGAAACGACATGGAATGAAATAAAAACAGATATGGCGCAAATATTAAATGAAACAAGTTTTAAAAAAAACACATTTCAATTAAATCGAGAAAAAATATATATATATTGAAAATAATCTTTCGACAAATTTCAGGTAATCCCTTCTAATAGAATATCAGTACGAGTAAAAATTCATTCGTTATTAAGTTTTTTTGAGAATTTTAAAGCATTGAAATATTTGTTCGATAAACACACAAACCATCTGTACTTATGTTGAATCGACTAACTTTAGTTCACATTATGATATTAATTTCAATTAAATTGATAAGTTTATCGACAAACTTAATAAAGAAATAATTCAATTAAAATATTTAACAAATGAAATACATCATCATATTGAGAAACTTAATAACCATTGTTAGTAACCAAGAATGTCCCGAAGTCACCGGGATTGGAAAGATTGACGATTTAGGAATAGTGCTCCGCGTAACCAAGTTTTTTGGTTATAATCATTCTTTCTAGTTTATCGCGAGTCGTGATCACTTTTCTTGAACGATGTTTATTGTGATAAATGTTAGATAAAGGCAGAAACAAAAAGGAGGAAACTATTTTCTTAATTAATTTAATTTGTCTCAACGGAATAGTGACATATACGTGTGTTATCGTTTAATTGTATTTGTAACAAAATATGTATTTCTATTATGTTTAGTGATGTTTGTGTTTCAGGAGAAATTTTTCCTAAGTTTTAATTTCTCTTTGTAAAATTTATGTCCAATTGTTGTTTTGATTTAGACAAAAAAATGAATAAATTATCGCAATAAGTTAAGAATATGAAATAATTTGTATTGTAGAAAGACTAATGTAGTCATCACAAACACAGGCTATGTGACTATCTTACTATCTGTAACTGTCAGTGAATCATATCGAGCACTATCGATTACGTAGGTTAGATGATTTCTGCTAAAATTGACTGAATTCGGGAGATTGACTGTTTCTTTTTTTTTTGAAATTAGTGAACAAAATAAATAATAAAATGCTGGAGAAAAATGAAACTTTTTCAAGATTAGAAGAGATTCGTTCACTTCCGCCCGCTCAAGATACCGTTGTTATTAAACAAAATATGTTCAATTTATTACAACAACGAGATATATTATTATCAAATAACAACTTTTTTTACTTATTACTTAATTGAAAAATGACCTATTTTTTTTGTTTCTTTTTGATAAATAAAAACTTCAAAAGAAATTAATTTTTTTATCAACATGAAAGAATCTGTTTCAAATTAACAAAAAAAAGTATCGAGTATTTAATCATCATATATAAATATATTTTGTTGATATATACGTAAACAATTATACATACGGTTTATTTTTCTCTTGCAATCAATAGAAAAATCTTCGCTTTCAGCCAGGAATATCATAAATATATAAATACAGTAATGATTGATATTCCACAGTTGAATAATCTTTTTTCTACTTGAAATAAGTTATAATATTAAAAAAGATATCTACATGAGTCAGTTCGCTACAAGAATTATGATGCGTAAATATTAATTAAAACTATTTTTTGACTAAAAATTAAATAGATAATTTAAAGACAGTCTAGGAAGGAAGTTAATATAAGACAAAATTCATTTGTCTAGACACAATTTATGGATGAATGATTTTGCTTTTAATGATTCTCTACTTCAGTTACGACTAGAGTTATCGTCAAGAGGGATGTATTAAGAAAATATTGAGCTAGAGAGAGTATTTTTTTGCCATGTGATGATTCCATTCCAAGGGATACATAATTTTTCGTTCTAGAGAATTTTCCATGACAAATGTAGAGAATTAGATGATGTTATACTTTAAAATAAAGCACAGAATAAAACTAAATAAGTTGATATTTCCTTGATTATGAATACTAATCTTCCAATAACATGATGTGTTCATGTTTGAAAAAGAATGTATTCTTATCAATTAATAAACCAAGGATGTTTGAATAGCTGTATTTTAGATGGAAGCTCAAACCATAATCAGTAAAATTGAAACATCAGACAAAAATAAATGTGAACAGACAAAAATTATACACTGGAAGAGCAAACATATATTTTTTTACAAGAACAAAAAAGGAAAAGAAACAATTTCATGATGAGAAACAAGATCTCAGGGTGGGTCGTCAGTTTTAATAATTTTCTACATTCCGCTTGGTTATTCAGGAATATAACATGAATAAAATTTTGCTTCGCTTATAACTATGGGTGAATTCATCTTTAAAAAGTAAAAAACAGTAATCTAAATATGAATTACAATTTGAATTTTGTTACACTCTCAATCGAATTTTTGAGGCATGTATAGAAAGAAGTTTCCACAACTTTCTAACAAGCTCCTGTCAAAATTAAGACAATCTGGAATGGAATGAATTCAATCTGGAAAATACATTATTTGTCTAAAGCAAACAGTATACTGAGAAATCGTGCGTTTCCTTTCTTCAACTTACTTCCTATTGTCTCTTCTGCGGGTTCCGGATTGAAAAACAACCTAATAATTACTGTATTCTCTACAATGTCATGCTGGCATAGCTAGATGATACAAACCCTAGCATTATCTTTTCTTTTTTCATGACAGTCCATATCAGATACGAAGCATATCTAAACTCTTTTTTTTGTAGATGCAGTATTTATTAATAATCATATTTTACAGTACACGAAAACTCTGTATACAAAAATGTTATATTTATGGATACAAAAAGATTAATTTCTTCAATGTTTGACACGGGTCGCTAGTTGTCGAAAAGAAATAGTCCGTAAAATAAATTCGATTTTATTTCTTGCATGATGCTTACAAGAAAAAAAAAATACTGTATGTATATTGAAATAAGTCTCAAATGATAATATTTTCAAATCAGTTTTTTTTTTATTTTCAGTATTTATTGTCACTGGTTTATTGTCAAAACCAATCATTAACCAGACAAAAAATTTTTGCCCTTGCTATTGTCGTCATTCCTTTGTTTGCACTATAAATAATTTCTTTATGTCGAAATAATCATCATACTTAATTACTAGTTTAATTTTCAGATATAAAACTTCTGATTAAATATTAATTAGAATTAAAAATAGATCAAAACTACAATCTACAATTAGAATTGAATACAATTAAATACATTTGTTATTGATTACTTCATCATTGTAAGTCTTATTTACGTCAATTAATTACAACAAGAAAGAATTTTGTCTATTCTTCAACTAAAATTTTCTTTTGTTATTTGTTATAGAAATATTTTGTATGAGAATATATCAGAAACAAAGAAAAAAAAGAACAAGAAAAAAGCAACATTAAACCTTTCTGTTTATTTTAGTTCTATTAGTACGAAAAGGAAAAAAAAATATCTCGTGTCAACATCGATAAAATCCAATAATTAAAAAAAAAGTTATTTTAGAGCAAATGAAAGCTTATCAGAATGATATTATAAAAAAAAAAAACATACTATAGTAAGAAAGAAAGAAAGAGAAAAACAAAAAAAAAAAAGAACATTGTCATATTTGTCTTACATATAAAATTTGTCCTTCAGGTTTATACAACAATTTAACCGAGTTATATTTATTTTGGTTTTTTTTGTCTTATGAAACCTCAAAAATAAATTAAATTAGAATAATTTAAATTGTACAAACAAGAAAATATTTGAAAATTTCCATTTTTAACAATATTTCATGTATAAATATCAGAGAGAAAAATAGAGTTTATTCTTGCTCTTTTATTCATGTTTTTTTAACCTTCTGCAATACAGAAAATAGATACACCCTTTTTTTTCAGAATAAATAAGTACAAAAAAAAAAATAACATATTATATGCTTGATACGTTTTTTTATTTTATATACTCCATGACAGCTAAGATTGTCCTTGAATATTAATCAAAATTTATCGTAATAAGTATTTTTAACAATCTTATGATGCACTTCTAGGTTACAACAACCTCTATCTATATATATATAGTGTATACTTCCTACTTCATGGTAGCCAATGACTGTATTGCCCTTTCTATTTCCTGACTGATAGAAAATTTTGGTCGGTGTCATTGTAAAATGACAGAATAACTTATCATTAATTGTTTTGTTTTATGTACGTAAGTTTTTATAAAAAGAACATCTATCATTAATCGATAATATGAAATTATATTTAAAATGTTTGACAAAAGAAAGTATATTTTGCATAAGAGTTATTATGTAATAAAATTGAGGACTTTTTTTCACAAAGATCATATTCTAAATTGAAGATTAGAACTCGTCATCATTCTGAATTATATTATTAATAAGTTGTTTAAAATAGAAAATGAAAGTAAATTGATATTCAAAACGACATGTGTTTTATATATAGAAAAAAAAAATAAATAATTCTTTTCTTTTTAGTTGCTTCTCTTGCTACTAAAGGATAATATCTAATTAAAACTGATAATCGAGAAATAAGGACAAATCTTTATTTAGGTACATAGATCGGGTCGTGTTGACGTCATTAGGTTTTACATGATTTTTATTATAATGCACTGACTGGTCCCGTTTTTCTTTTAGCTATTACAAGAATATATTCACAAAAATAAAACAAATTTAGAAATCAATAAGTGAAAAAGCATCCAAATAAAGCTTTTCTTTTATAAATAAACTTTCTTTGGTTCTTAACGGTGTGATGTTGATATGATGCAGACGCCCTTTTTTTTTATAGAACGAAGCTGGGTAGTAGTGTAATAGATTGAGTAGGTGTTATTGCGATTAGTAATCGATAAAAAAAAGCAAAAAAAAAAAAGAAAATCATGTACGTCGTCTGCATCTGGGGAAAAAAACACCAAAATAATAGAGTAAAAAAGTGTCCTTTCCTTTCTTTCTTTTAATTCTTATGCTTGATGCACTTGTATACACAGACTTATACTTGTGTTGATAAAGTAAAACAGAAAAGAAAGAAGTACCCCAGTTGTGCATTTGACCTGACTTATTTTTTTAAATGTATTTCTTCACTCTAGTGTATACAGTGAGTTCGCATATTAACATCAAGATCATGTGTATAAATCTATATAACATCAATGTATACATATTTGTTAACATGTATACGTTGGTGCGCATTCTTCTGCATAATATAGGTCAGTCCAGAACGTTTACTCAGTTCGTTCTCTGTTATTGCATGATTAGTTGGGAATGTTTTTTTCTCGCACTTGATAACCTTGACATGCGACCCGACATTTTCTGAGTACGTCATAATAGTGTGGTCTGTTGTCAAAAATGTCTATATTAATGTATTTTATTTCACCGATTATTCATTTTTGAAGATATTTTTTTTCAATGTTAATTATAATGTATCAAACAAATATTTTCTTTCCTTATGTCATTAGATGTTTCTTCATTGGTAGATAATAACGGACATTTTTACTGATATATATATATATATATATATATATAGGTTTTTTTAAGAATTTGACTGTGCGAACTCTAAGTACGATCTACTCGTATAATCTTTCTGCCTTTTTTTCTTTGCCTTTTGTTCTGTTTTTCTTTTGCGTATTCTGGACTTTCTATCGATAGCGAATCTTTTTTTTGCTTGTTCTCCCTCTCTTTCTCTTGCGTCTCCTAACTCATACTCTAATACATCCTTCTCTTTTTTTTCGCCTACGTTTATTTTTTTCTTCTTTCGACTTTTTTTGGACTACACATCACTACTTTATAAAAGAAAATATCGAATGTGTTCTCGTTGACATCGATATTAAACTTCAACTAATGTACGGTATCGTCATTCTATTAACTATAATGTGTCTTATTTTTTCTTTTCTTCATCTTTTAATCATTCCTATTAGATACAAATAAGATATCAACATCTACATATATAGATAGTAATAAAAAATAAGAACAACATCACGATGTCTGTACAACAATCTATGCATACACGCAATCATAGTTATCAACCATCTTTGTCAAACGATACATATAAAAAGAGGTGTGAAATTTTATTAAAAAAAAACAATATGAAAATAGAATCATTATCTTAATGCCATAAAAGACATATGTTGTTTCTTTTTTTGTATTAAATAAATTATTTAGGCTTGTTTTTTTTTACTTTAGTAATTACCCAACATTAAAACGTCTATCAAATGATGACGAACAAATTGTAAAAGGCGATTTAAAAACCGACACAAAATCTCCAGGAAAAAGACGCTCAACTAGTTCAGCATCATCTCCAAAAATGCAACAACAAACAATTAATTCACCGACCGATGAATCAGGAGTTGGTGTAGTAAATCGATTATGCAGTGTATGTGGAGATGCAAGCACGGGTAAATATTATTTTCATTATTTGATTTATATTAACTAATAAAAACCTTTTTTCTTTTTTCAAGGTATTCATTTTGGTGGTAATAGCTGTGAAAGTTGTAAAGCTTTCTTTCGACGATCTGTTCAATGTAATCGCTTTCAAAATTATAAATGTTCAAATGAAGGTAAATTTGATTTCTTCTTTTTTTTTAAATTTCTAAAAAGGTTATTTGAAGTGCTTTGTTTTTTTCTTTTCCTCCGAATCAAAATTACGTCTTTTTCCTGTTCTCATAACCTCATCGCGTGATAATAATAAGGCATGAATGGCTAAGATATAATCTATAGGAAATATCCGGATATCCCAGTATTCTGTTTAAAAAATATACATAGAGGGCAGTACATACAGAGTATTTTTTTTCTCCGATAAAAGCTTTATTTTCATTATGTCAATTGTCCTTAGAAAATTCGTTGCACAACTTTCTTATTTTTCTTTTGCAATAGAAAATAAAAAAGAAACATTAAAAATCAAGTGTTTGTTTTTATTTCGGTGAATTGGATTATTTATTTTAGCACGATGTCCGGTGAACATAGTCACACGTAAAGTATGTCAATTTTGTCGTTATACAAAATGTACAGCAATCGGTATGAAACCAAAATGGTAAGAATGACAAATAAGATGTTTCTTTTTTTTTTTTGTTTAATAAAAACAAAATTAATATAAATAGGGTTTTATCGGATCAAGAACGAGAAGAAAAATATGGTTCAAGACGTAAACGTTTTCGAGAAAATCGTACATCTGAAGAAGATCCTGATATTTATAAATATTTAACTAGTGAAGAAAAATTACTTATTGAAGATATAGCACATGCATTATATCAATCACGAGCGTAAGTTTTATTTTTAATAATATCAATAGAATACAAATAAAGGTCTTCAAGTACGTTTTATTGTGAGAAGAAAAAAACAACGGATCATTCATCTATATTTTTTTTTCGTTCCTGCTCTGGCGTTCTCGATAAAGTTTAACGGGTACAAAGTCCACTAGATCAAAAACAAAAATAACGACCAAAATTTATCATGTTAAATAAACCAATATATTTTCATTTATAGAACATATCCATTACAATTTCCAAATCAATTAAATCAATATTTAACTTCATTATCGTCAGAAACACCACCAACACCACCACCACCATCACCATCGTCATCATCATCATCAACATCTGAAAAACCTCCTAGTCCATCAGCTAATTTTCTTATTGTACCAATTCAACGTCTTGTTTTATTTGCACGAATGCTTAAAGATTTTGATCTATTTACTGAAGATGATAAAGTTTGTCTACTTAAAGGTTCAGCTATTGAAATAATGGTGTGTTCATCAAATACATTATTTAATCCTAAAACACATTCATTTACAAATTATTTATCACGTGATCAACGTGCTATTATGGATGATCAAATTATGCCACTTGATCCATTACTTATAAAATTATGGGGCAAAGAATTATTCCATTTAACAAAAAATTTTTTAATATCAATGTGTAATTTAGAAGTTGATGAAGTAACATCAACATTATTGGCACCTGTTATATTATTTTCACCTGATCGTTCAAATATAGTTGATAGTGATTTAGTTAAACGTTTACAAATTAAATATGTTACATTAATACAAAAATATATGCATTGGCGTTATGGTGTTGAACATACAGAAAATATTTATCCAAAACTTTTACTTCAAATTGTTAAAATACGTACATTAAGTTTAGCACATGCTGAAATTATACAAAAAGTTATGTCAACATCAAGTGTTAATCCACTTGTTCAAGAAGTTACTGCCAAACCAGAAATCTTGCATAAATCAACAACAGACAAAATGGGTAAATATTCAATCATATAATCAATCGTTTATGATTTTCTTTAGTTCTATATTGCTATAGAAAGTTTTTTTTATTATACTAAATCAAGATATTACATTATAGAACATAGAACTCTTATAAATGTTTATTTATTCATTTTATATCGAATTAATAGTTTCAGATCATGCCTTGAAATCGAGTTGGTTTTTGATAGCCCGACTCAATGGAAAAATCTCTTTAGGCCGAGTATTGCTTCAGATGACTCATTATAATCTAAGCACAATGTAGTTGCCATTGTTAATCACAGGAATATTGTTTTATTGTATCTATTTTGGGAGACTTGCCTTCACCACTCATCTATTTTATCCGTGAGAAATACAATAAGAAAGTAGGTCATATATTAAAACGAAATATTATTCATATAGAGTCTATGATTGTATGTTAACAATATATGTCACGGTCTGTGACGCAGCGGATGGTGGAGGGGGGGGGGGGAGAGCGTCACTAATGCGTCTATCACGATCTATAATCAGTCATATTTAAAGTATCTGTCACACCTATGAGAAGGTCCAGTAGTCCGAAGACATTTTTTATAAAAGAGAAGCAATTCGTCTTTAAATTCTCGCTAAACTATTTTCGTCCTTGAAATAATCAATATTTAATTTTTTTTTTGTTTTTGTTTTTTTTTCAAAGATTCTCTATCATTATCATCAACACCAAATGATAGTGATATGTTAGATTATGAAAAAATTCCATCAATTGATACTGAAAGTACCATGGGTTCCGATGATGATGATACGATTAGAAAAAAAAATCGATCATCAATTGATGATGATGGTGGTTATGATAATGAAGATTCTAATGAAACAGATTTAAGAAATATATGGAAAAAACGACGAAAATTAACAATTACACAAACAGAAATAACAAATCTTGAACAAAATAACAATTCACCTAATCTTATTCGTAATCCTCATAATGAAATAAAACATGATTTTATGCGTTCAAATTCTAATGAATTTGAAAAATATTCCAATCTAAATTCTCCACAGAAAAGACCGCATGATCATCAAGTACCAAATTTTGTACCAAAATTTAATGATGATTTAACTTCACAAAACAGGTTATTTGAAAATAAAAATTTTCTCTTAAACTTTATTATATTCTTTTTTTTTAGAGCAACTTCTCTTCGATATTTACCACCGAAAAAACAATCAGCATTAATTAAGCGTCATAATTCACAAGAACAAATTTATCGATCACCTTTATCATCAGCAAGTGATAATTCTTCTCATGATCAATATTCTCAATGTGAAAATTTTCAAGAATGAAAAAAAAAATTCATTTATTCTATTTTATTTTATTTTCATTCTAGTAAATCAAATTTCAAATACAACAATGTCACCACTAACAAAACAACATTATCCTCATGATACATATGAAAATTATCGTCAACAATATAATAGAATATCATCACCGAATTTTCTACAACAACAAAATGAACAACATTTATTTCATCTTTCATTAGGTGGGTTAGTTTTTTAAAAATTATACAATCATAATGAAATAATATAAAATAAACTTAAAGTCATAGACTTTCAGGCTAGAAATAATTATGACATTTCTTTCACAGAAATGACTTTATCATCCTTACTTTAATTTTCATGTCATATATTTTTGATTTCTTGATAATTATAAGGTCATAGAATTAATACAAACATTAGTGTCTGGGTCACGGTATTTTCTTTTGAAGTAGTCTATAATTACATATTAATTAAATAAAAAAATGATGTGTTAATAACAATTTAATAATATAAAATCTTATTTTGATTTTTCTTGTTAAAAATAGCTAATAATCAAAGTCCAACGCCACCTGTTCAATCACCAGCAAATCATCAATCTCGTTCAGGAGCAACACTTGATCCTGATGAACAACAATTACTTGATGCTATTCATGCACATCCAAATAAACGTGATCTTGTACTTAATCTTCTTCGACAAATGAATGAACCATCATTTACATCATCTATGGATACTCATTCGAATATAAATTATCATAATCAACAAACAAATCGAACAGAAACATCAAATTATTCGAATTCATACCGACAACATTCAAATATGGATCATAATAATGATGCATTTTGACTGATGATTACTCAAATTTTTTCGTCTATTTCTTGTAAATATAAATATTTCTATTGTTTATTTTTTTGTTTTTCATGTTCTTCTACAGGTAACTATTATTCTATTTTTTTTAAAAATAATAACTGAGTCTTGGTTCCCGGTGTATGATGATTTCAAATTGGAAAAAAAGAAAAAGAAGAAAGGAGAAAAAAGAACTGAATTATTAATCGACATTCTTAGATCTAGTTTTCTTAGATTCTTTCTTGTTTGATTAAGCAATTCAGAGATTTTTTTATTTTATTTTGTAAGACTTTTCTAAATAAAAATCTGTCCTAAATCTAAACAATTTCGATAAAAATTACATACAATAAATTTTGACTCAATAGTCAAATAAGATTCTTTTGTATGCATCGAATACTAACATTTGAATTCGATTTTTCATTCCTATTTTTATTCTCACTAAAAATTTGTTAATAATAATAAAATAAAAAGTGAGTATATCGAATTTCATAAAATCTAGCGAAATTCATATGTATTTTTTGATCTCACAAATCGATTTGAATATTTATATAAAAAAAGATTATTATCAATACTGCAAAAATAAAGTAATAATTCGAAAAGAAAAGATTCTAATAACATCGAATTACTAATCCCTACACCATTCATTTAACTAAAAAACGCATAATATCCTGAAATCTTTTCTCTGTTACTTTTAAGTTCACAATCAATAACTGTTGTTCTATTATTATTATTGTTGTTGTTTTTATTCGTTTATTTTTGTCTACTTCCTTGTTCAATTATGATTTTATTTCTTTTTTTCTTTTGAAAATAATTATTGCTTTCTCTTTGTTCATTAACATGCACATTTGTTTCGATGATGTGTATGTTCATTCATTTTTTTTTGTTGATTCAAAATGATCAAACTGAGTGTTGTTTTGTTTTTTTTTTTTTTTTTTCTTCTCTCTTATGAACGAGTTGAAAATTTCAATCGATGTTAATAAAAACAAAATTTTCAACTTTAGGCGCACTATTATTTTCTTTTGTAATTTAATATGAGTATAAAATCTACTGATGATATATTACAAAATTTGAAAGAAATAGATAAGAATGATCAATTATTAAATAAAAATAATTATCTATTTCAAAGTTTTAATTCATATAAATCAAGAAATAATCATCAATCACCTATTGAACAACAAAATTTTCGATCATGTCAAACATTTATTTCAATTTTAATTAGTTTATTTTTTTTAATTAGTATAACAATTATTGTATATCAGATTTCGAAATATTTTATTCATGAAAATTATTCAAAAAAAACTAAAATAAATTGTAAAAATACAAATGATACATATACAAAATGAAATAAATATCAACTATTAATTGATATCTTATTAGAACAAGTAAATTCTTCTTGTATGATATACTAATTCAGAAAGTTTTTAGAGGAAAAAAATTTTTTGAATTGAACTGATCCAATTTAATTTTCAATCAAATATTTAGCTTTCTTCATTCTTCGATGTGCTTAATAAACATATTATATTTAATGAGAAATGAGAACGTTTATATATAGAATATCTGTTAGCTTTCAATTTTCTATAAAATCAAAATAATGATAGTTCTCATTCAGAATAAGTTATTATTAGTGCAGTACTATAGAGAGAACTTTAGAAGATCCTCCCTTTTCGGATATTTTTATTAAATCCAACTCTTGAAATCTCTAGTACATAAACTCGCGTAGTGTTTATTCTTTGTATGTAAAATTTTTCTAATAATAATGATTATTTCTCATTCCAAAAATGGTGAGAGCATGGGTCATGACGTTATAACACCGCTAGTTTTCGATCACTTTAATTGAAGAAAAAAAGGCCTCATACATACACATCTCTCCTTCAACATGTATATGTTCTATACAGTGGCGATCCGAAGCAGTCAACATTAAGGGGAGGATGTTGCGATTTGTTAAAAAGGAATAGAATTTCAGTTCTATTTTGAAAAAAGTAAAGGTTTTTCACAAGAGGAAAAGGGAATGTTACACTCTCAAGACATCATTTGTTCTATATTATATTTTGTTTTCTTTTGTTGTGTTCTCCAAATGTGAGCAATACTAGAATATTTTTTGTGCTTGTATCGCTGTTTAGATTAACTTTTGTTTTATTTTTCCTTATACATATAAAAAAGCTGTTAGTGCAATCTTTATATGATTAATATGTGAAACACGATGTGACTGCTGTTGGTAATCACAAGAGAGTAGGTCATATATTATAACGAGATGTTATCAAAATGTGGTCTGTAATGTTATCTGACTTCGTATCTATCATGAGTTGTTGAGGGGATTCGAACTTTTACTCCGTATCCTTCAATACTCTTTTTAGATCATGTTTCACAAAATTGTTTGCCACAAGCTGCGATGGACTCGTCGAAGGTACGGTATCAAGTTAGCAAACTTCGTTATCCCGCTCATCTTCAAATCCCGATCGTCAATCCAGCTAATCACTGTCGTTCTTATTCTGAATTCTTCATCGCATGCTGACTGGTTCCATCATGATTTGAGACAACTAACGTTATCACATAAGATAGGTGAGCAGTATCTAATATGAAAACCTTTATCTCTTGGATAAGTCGCGATGAATCATTTGTGTAAGGATGAGGTACCAAGACTATCAGTATTATTCAATGATTGATAGAACTAATTTATTTTTTACATGACATTATTCTGAGTGCATAGTAGTTTTATTTTTTTGTTCTTAGTTCCTTTTTTAAAATCTATATATTCTGGAACAGCAATTTGTTTTATTTTGACGATTTGAGAAAAATTTTCGTTTTTAGCGCCAAATTCTACATCCCTGCAAATAGCAAATCGAATTATGACTGGATATATTTTCTTGAAATCATACAAACTCTTATTAGTTCGTCAACTTGATAAAAAGAAAACTTGAAAAATCATATTCAAATGTGTAAAACTTTAGTCGGTACTTCTTTACTTTAGACAACACAATCTTTATTCACATACAAAACTCGATAGTTTATTAATCACATAAATGAAAGTTCTATGATTTTTTGTAAACGATGAAAACATTCTTTTTTAATTCTTCTTCTTTAGCGAATGTTACATATATACGAAATACCTTTATATAGGACAATTATCCTTTAGATGTCACTAGAATGTTTGCTGACATCTTTCTTTTTCTTTCCTCCTTTTTTCTTTTACTCCATCACTTTTAACATTCAACAATATAGTTAGAACGGGTTCACGTATCGGTCATTCTTGTCTAGCTTAGTCCTCAATTGTGAGTAGGAATACATTGTTTCTTTCTGTCTCTCTTCTCTCTCTCTATTTTTCTTATTGAAACTAATATACACACACATGATGTCGTCGTCAACGGCTACTGATACTGATACTGTATCTGAAAATCTAACTTTATGTTCCGTTGATCAATGTGCAACACCATTTGATGTTCATTGTTTTCATTGTCGTGCTAATATGTGTTCACATCATTATTTTGAACATAAACAACAACAATTAGTTAATGAAAATGATGATGCTATGGATGATCTTTTACAACTTGCATCATCAAAATGTTTTTGTATAAGTAATGGTGGATATTCAATATCAAAACATCGTCGTTCATTTTCAAATCCATTTGTTTCATCATCTTATTTACTTAAAAAAATGCGGCAACAAGCTGCACGTCGACCTGATAGTACAAAACCAATTGTAACAACAAAAACAACAGCTATTAAATTTTATAATTTAAGAAAACGACCTGGTAAACGACAACGTAAATTAGTTGCAACTAAAACAACAACAGTTACAACAACCACAGTTAAACTTTGTGGAACTGTTCTTAAAACTCGACTTCGAAATAATAAACTATGTAATCGAAAATTACCATGTCCATATCATACTGTGGAGTGAATATAACTTTTGTATAGATTTTCTGATTTTTCCTTTTTTTCAAAGTCATTCTCTCTTTTAGTGTGATGTTTAACTTTAGTTTATTATTATTTCTTGCTTTTCGGAAATATGAAAAGACACTATGAATTTGTATTAATTCAAATGAACTGATTTATATTATTAAAAACACAACAAAAACTATTTCCTCCCTCCGAAAAACAAGAAAGTATTGTACAAAAAAAATTTCTTGTTTTGATTAAATTTGAATTTAAACTGGATTTTTATATTTTATGTTTATAGTTAATAGAGAAGAGAAGATTTTTCGAATCTAATACAATCGATTTGATTTATTTCATAATGATTATCAATATATTTCATTTAATTTTTGAGTAAGAATAAGAAAAAAATAGTATTTGTCAGCAAAAACTGAAACATTTGTTTGTTTTTTTATGTAGATATCGTCTAACAAAGTTCTTGTCCCGAAGTTTTAAATCACCCTTCTGGAAAAGAAAATTTCGATAAAACATGAATGCAAATTGAATGGGACAATATCATTTTATTTTTTGAAGTCATTTTGATACATTTTTAGAAAGTCATTCGATGGAGATTTTTTTCGTTCTAGAAAGTTGTTTTATTTGTTTTTTGAATAAACTTCTTTGAGAAAAATTTAAAATATTAAACGCTTACTCAATTACGTCTAACTTTGATTTTCTGCAGATATCTATCAATTTGTGTAAGTCTTCGCTCATGAAGACCAATTCAAAAAAAAAAAAATAATACAATTAGCATCAATGGATAAAGTACTTTGTACTCTTCGCTTCTACAATCTTTTCTCAAGAGAAAAAAGTTTAAACATATGTTCCAAAACGAGGTTTAGTATAAAAAAAAGTCATTTTCGTGCTGTCGAATGTGAAATTTAATTCTAAACGAAATTTTGTGACTACGAAGTTGAAGAGTACAAACGATTAGGTTGTATCGAAATAAAAAAAGAACAATCACATAATCTTGTCAGACAAGAAGTTTTTCTTCATGATTATTCTCGCAAATATTTCTTCGAGAAAAAATTGCTGTATTCCGAAAATCTACTGATTTCTGAAATCTTGATTTTGTAAGTCTAATCATCTTCTAATTATTCTTGTCAAAACTGTAAAAATCTATTTGTCTAACGAGCTTTAGAAACAAGCCGATGAGCACATTATTATCTCTTCTGAAGTCTGTACAGTTGGACTAAATGAAACGAAATTTTTAGTGAAGTTAGAACTTTCATTCATCACACTATGAGATAAATTTTACCTGTTTTTTTTTTTAATGAAAATTTATTGTAATTTGAAAAACAAATATAGGTTGACATATTGAATGAGTATTCATGAAGTGTTAAGTGAGTCAAGTTGTTTTTGCCATTTTTTTCATCTTCTGTTAATTTTTATAAAGAACGTTAATAGGAAGTTTTTTATGACACGATATCTTGTTCCTAGTGTTTATGTACAAAAACAAAATAAGAAAAGTCCTATATAAAATAAAATCATATAACTACTATAGCCTTATCAACAAAGGAACGACAGTAAAATAAGTCGTTCTCCTTCATACATTTCTACATGACAATAAGAAAAAACATTAACTTTTTATAAACAAAAATCTACACTTAAAGTTGTTTACAAGCAAAACATTTGAATCCCTTATTGTACTTCAAATATTTTCAAATGCAAATATTAGTTGCTGAAAAATTTGAACGATTCGATCTCATTAAAAGATCGCTATGAGAAAACACACGCTCAATTGGTGCTGATGTAGCAAGAATATCTACATGATTTTTCTAGCAAGTTTATTACGAGATTGATATGAATTTGGTTTTTGGAAAATGAGATCACTGGTTAAATTTTCTTTCTGCAAAAAAACCATCAATTTCTTCTGAAACTGATTCTAGTGTTTAATTATCAACTTTTGCCTTTTTAAATGAATGACTCGAACTCGTCCATCTCTGTATTTATGCAATTCAAAAAAGAATATTATCCGATGAGTTTTAAAAACTAAGATGATATTAGTAATCAACATACTTAGCTGTATTGAATTATAAAGACTTTGAATAGAACGGCGATAAACATTTTTTCGATACTTGAGGGGAACTTCAGGTATGAAAATTTGACTGGCGATAAAATATAAAATAAACTTTGGTAAATAATCAGTGTTCAATGCTGACTCGCAGAGAAATAAAACTAGGGTTAGATGCTTTGAAACAGCAGGTTCGAGATTTGACATACTTTCTTTCGATCAAATAAGATCTGCTCATAGTCGAATCTGTATAAAACTTAAATAATTATCACTATTTAATTATAGAATTGATTAGTTCTGCAAATCTAATTAATTTTTAAATTTATGAAAAGGGATATTTGCGCAAAAATAATGAAATATGTAGACTTGATCAATGACTTGTATATTATATATATGATTGGATGATTTATAAATCAG